CTTATTGATAAAGGCAAATCGAGAAATGTGCACGTGGACAAGGGATACATTCCGAACCGATCTATCAGACAGAGGCGAGAGGAGGTCAAGGCCTTCACCCCTCTAAATACTCAGGGCCAAAGACATTGATGGAAATTAGGGATATGAAAGAGCTTAATTGGCCGAGACCGATGGCAACATCTGCTAACAAGATGGATAAGATAGCTAGGATGCAATGCCTACAACATACACACTCTATTGAAATTATTAAATGAGAAGTCTGAGACGCGACAGACGATGAGGGCGCTAAGGAAGAGCCGACCTAGCTAGGACGTCCCGGTACGCCTACTAAGTCCCCAAATCCTGGCAGATTAAATGTTATTGCAAGATCTTGGTTTGTGTTTGATTGAAATGAAGACTACAAATCCCCCTTATTGTCTCGAAGATCACTCGACACATAGCGGTGAGCAAAAAAGTCAATAAATTGACTAGCTCAAAATCGGTTCAAGGGACGGTGGTGAGTTCTCAAAACCTGAAATGGTTAAACCTCAAAATCACCGGACCCGACACTCAACATCGTTCGACACATAGGGATGAGAAAAAAAGTCAAAAAATTTACTAGCTCGAAATTGCTTCAAGGGATGGTGGTGAGTTCTCAAAACCTGAAATGGTTAAGGCTCAAAATCACCAGACTCGACATTTAACGTCACTGACACATAACGATGAGCAAAAAAGTCAAGAATTTGACTAGCTCAAAATTGCTTCAAGGGACGGTGGTGAGTTCTCAAAACCTGAAATGGTTAAACCTCAAAATCACCTGACTCGGCATTCAACATCGCTTGACACATAGCTATGAGCAAAAAAGTCAAAAAATTTACTAGCTCAAAATTGCTTCAAGGAATGGTGGTGAGTTCTCAAAACCTAAAATGGTTAAAGCTCAAAATCACCAGACCTGACATTCAACATCGGTCTACACACAGCGATGAGCAAAAAAGTCAAGAAATTGACTAGCTTAAAATCGTTTCAAGAGATGGTGGTAAGTTCTCAAAACCTGAAATGATTAAGGCTCAAAATCACCGGACCTGGCATTCGACATCGTTCAACACATAGCGGTGAGTAAAAAAGTCAAAAACTTAACTAGTGAAAAATCGCTAGGGGCTGTTGGTGAGCTTTCAAAA